GTAAGTACTACAAAACATTGTTCATTTCTCTGCTGCCATGCGCCGTTTGTAGTTCGGACGGTTTCTTTGTTCGAATGGGGAGAAAAGTCGATACGCTTTAATGATAAACAGTGTGTTAAAATGTCCTCTGTGTTCTTTTAAACGTGTTTCATGGAAATATCTTTGTCAGTGATGTAGAGCCGTAACCAGAAGTTTAGCATCGGCTCTCACAAAGTCTACTGCTGTAGTAGATGTTTGTCAGGCTTTACTATGGTTACTGACACTGTGACACGTCATAGGTTTCAAAGGCTTCTATTGAAAATTAGATTTAGTTTAAACAGAGTCAATATTTTACAAGACCTCTCGAGTGAACCCTGACATGTTTTATATCAACTTCTGCTCCAGATCCAGACCGATGGCTTCAATTGATCAATGTTCGGAGTCTGTCTGAAGTTGCGTTAGTTTGTCCTCCCATCTCATTAGGATTGACCACGATAGTTCCCTGATGTTGATGTTTTGTTCCCCAGCACTTTTAGTTATGGCGTCTTTGTCCTTCTGGTGAAGACCCAGGCTAAAGGAGTCCCTCTGGGAGGATGATTAGGTACCATTCTTTACTCGTGGCTGTGGTCTGAGGCGAAACTCCTTAAGCTGAGAAGCAGCACCACACATGAATGGTCTCAGGATGCCTTACTGTTGGCCGGACTGATGGGAATTACGTCTCCAGATTATCCTTTTTGCTGGATGCTCCAACAACTGGAAAGGGGAGTCGTCAGAAAAGTAAACACCCCCACCCAACCCTCAGCGGTCCAAATCCCTAGTTGCTTTTCTTGAGGTGAAGCAACTTCTTTGCTTCCCCTTTTGGTATCACACCATCAGTTAAATGTAAATCACATGTGCCTGCTTCCGGAGTAGTTTCTCCTACAGCGATGCTTTAATCCTGCAGTTGCGTTCCCTTCGGTCTTCCTGCTTGGTGGACTCTCTTGAGTGCCCTCGCGTGAATGTAGTTCATTTTATTGGCAAGGAGCGACTTGGTCTGATTACTTCTCTGAACATTCTGGGCTTTAAGCAAATTAAGGCAAAGTGTGTGAAAAATAGTTTTTTGTGTCTGTCTCAAAAATGTTGCCCAGCCTGCAACCAGGAAATAGAAATGAGAATGTGGTTTTTACCGACATTTTTAACGAAACGCATTTAGAGTTGAAAAATTAAGTCCGGGGAACAGAATGGACCAACATGTTTGATACTTGTGCTTTCCCACGTTTCTGATCACACAAATTAATAAAACAGTCTGGTATACGTGTAATTATGAGCTCATTATCTGGGCTCAGTGAGTGGAAATATGAAGGACTGCTGGTTTTAGCCGTTGCTGGTAGCAGTAACAGCAACACACGGAGACAGCCCAGCATTCTTCACCTCCATAATAAAAGTCAAGTGGATGCTCGCCTTTTGACCCGACACTACTCTACGAGGGGGAACTTTACTCAGAACTGAATAAGTAATCTTCTTTTACTGCATTTGTCTTCAAAGTGGTGTCAGTGGACTGGATCTGATAAGAAAGCCGACTGAGCAGCAGGAAGATCCTTCTGTTGAGACGTGTTTGTTATCACGTACATCACGCGAGATGGGATTTAATGTCTGCGATGCCTTCAGTTATTACATGTTTATTTTCCATGAGGTAATAAGCTTAGACATTTGCTGTCTCACAGCTGAGGGAGGACTTCCTAATGCCATGTGTCTGGAAAAATTTCAAGGGAGACAAAAATTGCAAGAAAGTTAGTAGAGAAACCAACTGGATGAATTCAGCGTCGGACGACGGCAGTCTGCGAACACCCTTGATTATGAACGCGTCGAACATCAACGCGTTCAGGAGTCCGCTTCAGATCCAGCCCACGGGTCTGCAGACGAGAATGAAGCGTACACAATCCTCCAAACATATTTAGCTCTCAACAAGTTTGCCTTCATTAAAAAATTTAAAAAATTGCTCATGTTCCTAAAGATTTATTGACCTGCTGTGTGTTTATTCCCGTCCTGCTAAATGATCGTGTCACCGCTCTAATTCGCCGGGTTTTGCAGGACGTGTTGCTCTTTAGTCTGTCCCGCCAGATTCAGGTTTATTTAATTATGTTTTCCAAGCCTCCTCCCCCTCTGTGCTAAATGTTTACCTCCTCCTAACACACTGCATTCCTCCGGCAATGAGAAGCATTACGTCTTCAGCCTAAAATAAGGAAGTAATCTGATGAAGTGTGTTCAGCTGCTCCTGGTGTTGCTTCTAACGCTCCCAGCGTGTTCCATAGTTCATCTACAAGTAATCAGCATGAGCAAAGTTCACATAAAACACGTCTAGATCCTCTAACACTCACGCTGATGTGATTCTTCTAGCCAAGCAAGCGGGACTCTGAAAGCTGAAGGCGAAGAAGCTGGCTGTGTTTATGAATGCTTCCTCTCCTCAAACTTACCCAAATGTTCCTGTAGACCAAATCTGGCAGCACGTGAAATGCAGACCGCTTCAGCTCCGTCTGCAAACGGGCCCGACAGGAGAACATGGGGTTGCTGCAGTTTAATCACTCCTAGAAACGGTGCAATCGATGCAAACACAACAGAGCTTGTTGTCTCCGCTGGTTAATCAAAGGAACAAGCTAACTGTGTCAGATGACTAGCACGAACATTACTTCAGTCTAATTCACCTGAGGAACACAAACAGTGACAGGGAGCTATTTTAGCGCGTGTTCATTGTTTTTGCTCCCCCCCACCCCACCCCCGCTGCGAGAGCCTGTTTATCTAACCTTCCTCCCACACACCGGGCATGAATCAAAGATGCACTTTCTTGCATTTGAAGGAACACAAAGCATCTGATCAAAGAAAGAACAACTTGTTTCTTTTTAAATGCAGAACGTTTATGAAAATGGTCACAGTTACCTGATTTTATATTCATGAACCTTCAGGAAACAGTACCAGGACATTTTGATTCTATCTAATCTGTTTTGATTGGGTTCTTTGTCTTTGGTGCATATCATCATGCTAATGCGGTCCAGCTTGTCAAAAAATCGCACAACACTAAAGACCATGGTCTTGATTCGGAAAAGGGTAGAATGCCTTCTCCGGGTCAGGGATGAGGTCCTGCCACAAGTGGAGGAGTTTAAGTATCTCGGGGTCTTGTTCACGAGTGAGGGTAGGCTGGAGCGTGAGATCGATAGGCGGATTGGTGCTGCATCTGCAGTGATGCGGGCGTTGTACCGGTCTGTCGTGGTGAAGAGAGAGCTGAGTCAGAAGGCGAAGCTCTCGATTTACCGGTCGATCTACGTTCCTACCCTCACCTATGGTCATGAGCTTTGGGTAGCGACCGAAAGAACGAGATCACAGATACAAGCGTCCGAAATGAGTTTTCTCCTGTGGCTGGCTGCGCTCTCCCTTACCCCGGCTTTCCACCGGAGCCGTCAGCAGCACGTTAGTGCAGCAGCACGTCATAGCTGCTGATAGGAACCGCTGTGGTCAACAGAACCTTTTCCACCGGAGCCGTCAGCAGCGCGAGTCGGCCGCGTCTCAGGAGCAGCATGTCGCGGCCTTTACGCGCCGGTTCTATTTTCTACGCGCAACGCCTCTGAAACGGGTCAAGATCGACATTTTTGGGGAAGGAAAGACAGGAAATCGGACGCGGAAATGGAGAGAAGCTAAAGAGATTTTCAGAATAAAGAACGTACTGCTTTCCGGTTGCTTTACTTTTAAGAAAAGTTACTAACTGTGCGTCCCCGTGAGAAGTTATCACCTAGCTAGCGGTCTCCTTTGTTTTTCAGGTCCGTATTGGTGATTATAAAACGGACAGAACATAAAACACAAACCATGTTGTAATTTTCTCCTGCTTGTTGTTGTGTTTACTGACGAAGTCACTCGTGTGACTTTGTGCTCTGTCGGTGACAGCTGCTCCCCTGCTGCTTCGCGTCTCGTGGGAAGGGCCACGCAGCAGCTTACGCGAGCAAGACGTGCTGCTGCAGTAACGTGCTGCTGACGACTCTCGTGGAAACCCGGGGTTAGAGATAGGGTGAGAAGCTCGGTCATCTGGGAGGGGCTCGGAGTAGACCTGCTGCTCTTCCACATCGAGAGGAGCCAGTTGAGGTGGCTCAGGCATCTGGTCAGGATGCCTCCTGGACGCCTCCCTGGTGAGGTTTTCCGGGCACGTCCAACCAGGAGGAGACCTAAAGGAGACCCAGGACACGGTGGAGGGACTATGTCTCTCACCTGGCCAGGGAACACCTTGGGGATTTCCCCGGAGGAGCTGGCCCAAGTGGCTGGGGAGAGGGAAGTCTGGGCCTCTCGCCTTAGGCTGCTGCCCCCACAACCCGACTCCAGATAAGCGGATGAAAATGGATGGATGGAACACTCAGGATTCACCACCTCATCAAAAGACGTGAACTAAAGGCACACTTAGAAGTTTTCCTTGCTTTAACACCCTCTAGTGTCCGTTATTGATTATTATCTCGTTGCTGCGCGTTCATCTTTTTAACACCTAAAAGCACACCATCAGAAAATGTAACTGCACCCTTAGTCAAGATTTAAAAGATGCCTTGAAAGTGGGCGCTGCCAGGAGGCACAGAGTGGCATGGCCAAGTGTGGGGAATTTCCATCCTGGGAGGGAGGGGTAGTGGGAGGAGACTGTACCGATGACGTGAAATTGTACCAGCCCCAGTCAAGTTTAATCAAGTTTGCACAAACGTCAAAAAATGCACAGAAACACAAAGATTGCATTTGTAAAGACCCACTTGTACAGTTTATAAGCAACAATAAGTTATGTTGGGGTTTAGCTACTCTTTAACAGCTGGAGTGATTCCTCAGCCTTCACTAGTTTGTACTGGAGTGGTTCATTACTAAATCAAACAAATCAGCTGTGTTCACAACCTAGAACATGCAGTAAACCTGCTGGAAACAGACTGCAGCACCAGGTATGTCAGCGGAGTTTTTTTTCTAAGTCCAGCACTCTGAAGATGCAAATGCAGTATTCTGGCTACAGAGGGCAGTAAGGGTCTCAGGGA